CACCACGCACACGCGTGCGCGCACACACACACACACGCGCACGCACGCACACACACACACACGCACACACACACACACACGCACACACACACGCACGCACACTTGCACATACACACACGCACACACACACACACGCGCACACAACCACCACCCCCATCGCCACCACTTCCACCACAACCATCGCACACACACCCACACAGACGCACACACACACACACGCACGCACACCACCACCACACACACACAAGCGCGCACACGCAAACACACACACACATGCACACCACCGCTACCAACACCACTGCCACCATCAACACCACAACCCCGCCACCCCGCCCCCCCCCCCCGCCACCACCACGCAAACCCACATACACACCACCCACCCGAGCACCCGCAAATTGGGCAATCCCTTTTTATGTTCCGATACCCCAACCGCCAGCCGCGACGACCCCAGCCCCAACAGTTGCCCGCGCGGCCGAAACGCCTCACGGCGTGCCCACGTACGTCCCAATATTGGCTTGTTCGGCCAATGTGCGTTGCAACGCCGCGGCCTTTTCGGCCTCCTTGGGAAGCTCCCGTCCACGACCTGCTGTCCTCCCAAGCTTCTCCTCAGTCCTCTCAAGCTTCTCCTCGGGTTCATGCACTTACCAACTCAGTTCCGCGACTTCTCCGCACAGCCGCTTCTTCGCACCGAGGCCCTCGTCGGGCCAGTCGGGCCACTGGGCGGAGGAGGAGGATGAGGCGTCGGCGCAATGATCCATTGCGGCGCAGCGGGCGCGGCTGGGGGCTGGGGGCGGCCCGCCTTGAGTCAAAATGGCTGCGGAGACGCCTCTTGGGCAATCTTGAAGCCCGTGCGCGCGTGCGCGCGTGGCGCGTGGCGCGCGCGCGTGTGCGCGTGCGTGTGCGTGTGCGCGTGCGTGTGTGTGTGTGTGTGTGTGCGTGTGTGAGTGGAGGGGAGGGGGGGGAGATGCGTGTGTGTGTGTGTGTGTGTGTGTGTGTGTGTGTGTGTGTGTGTGTGTGTGTGTGTGTGTGTGTGCGTGCGTGCGTGCGTGCGTGCGTGGGTGTGGGTGTGGGTGTGGGTGTGGGTGTGGGTGTGGGTGTGGGTGTGGGTGTGGGTGTGGGTGTGGGTGTGTGGGTGTGTATGTGTGTGTGTGTGCGCGGGCGTGCGTGCGTGCTCGCGTGTGTGTGTGTGTGTGTGTGTGTGTATGTGTGTGTGTGTGTGTGCGTGCGTGCGCGCGTGCGCGCGCGGCGGTGGCGGCGGTTGTGGGGGCGGGGTGATTGGAGGGGTGGGGTGTGGGGGCGCGGGCGACGCCGAACCAGTTTGGGCCGCGCTTGCAGGCGCGCGAGGGGAACGGACGCGATTCCACGAGGCGCTGCCTCAACGTCCTCTGGACAGGCGCGCGATTGACATCGCTACCACGATGGGGGGACACGTTGCGCACCTGTGCTGTGCCTTCGCGCGGGCGCTGCGCAAAAGGAAACGCGCGCTGTCACATCGGCCCTCCCCCTCCACCTCCGCCGCCCTCCCTTCGCCCCCCCGCCCTCCCTCGCCACCGCCACCGCCGCGCACGCGCGCACACGCGCAAACGCACGCACACACTCGCACACGCACACACACACACACACGCGCACACACACGCACACACACACACACACACACGCACACGCACATACAAACACACACCGCGCACACCACCACGACCCCGAGGCGCACTGCTGGCAATGATAAAATATGAAGGGCCACGCCGCGCTGGCCGCGCGACCGATGCCAACGTTCAACGCGGCGCCACAATGATGCGCGCGCGCCGCGCACACCGCGTGCGCACCGCACGCAAGATGCACTTTGCAATGCGGTTAGCCTGCTGCATGGGCAGGAAAGCTGGACCAGGGCAGCACAAAGGCCAATGCACATACTATCATATATGATCGTTGCGCGAGTTCGTGGCGCACGCCTGAAGGCGCGACTGCGCGTGGCAACACGGTGGGAAACGCAGACGCGCTCAAATACATTGTTTTGTTGTTGAGGCATGGCTGTCGGCACGACGGGCGCGTTTGCGCCATCATCACAGGGCGCGCTTGAAGTTTGGTTGGCGGTATTTTCGATGCACAGTTCAGCTCAGTTGTTCTGGAGCCGCAGCGACAAGCTGGAATGGATGTTCGCATTGAGGCGAAAACCCGTTCCAACCACCATTCTGTGCTTGGGGGTATGTTGGAGGCGTCGTGTCATGTGGGTGTTCTTTCAGCGCCCCCCAGGGCCGCGCTCGAAGTTCTGGTAGCGCCATCGTCGGCGAACACTTCAGCTCAGCTGCTCCGAAGCCGCAACGACTAGCTGAAACTGGTTTCTGCACTAAGGCGAACATCAGTTCCAGCCCCCATTCGGTGCTTGGGGCCATTATAGTATTGACGCTTCGCGTATCCCCACCAGCTCATCGAGGAACGACGCCCAGGCGCGTCGAGGTGATCAGGGAAGTATGGGAGGCCCTCTTGGGCCCTTGATGGGCCAATAACATGGGTGATGCTGACGATGACGATGCTGCTAACTATGGTGGCGAGTGGGGGATGAAAAGGAGAATTGGCGCACGAGGGGGGGGGGGACCGTGGAGGTGGATGGGGGGAGGTGGAGGGGTGAATATTCTCGCCCAGCCTCGACCCCATTCAAGCAGAACCTCATGGGCGGAGCGGAAGGGCCAGAAGGGACGAGCATCGCACTAAATCCCACCAGCCCTCTGGGCGTGGGTGGTCTAGATGTCTAGAGGGTTGCCCCTTCCAGCTTCTTAATCAAACCCCTCCCCCATACCTTCTTACCTGGGGCCCTGAGCCAAAACTACGGCGCTTGAGCCAACGCTATGACGAAGAGGCCCTCTTAGGGCCTTCTTGGGCCCCTCCTGGGGTCCTTTTGGGGTCTTCTGAAGACCGCGAAGGGTTGTCACAGGGATGGGCCCTGCATGACAACCCCAGGCGGGGCCCTCTTGGAGCCCTCTTGGGTCCTCTTGGGGCCCTCTTGGTGCCATCTTGGGGCCCTCTTAGGGCCCCCTTGGTGCCCTCCTGGTGTCCTTCTGGGGTCTCCTAAAGACAGCGAGGGGTTGTCACAGGAAGGGGCCCTGCGTGGCAACCTCAGTGGGGCCCTCTTGGATCCCTCTTGGGCGTCTTGAGGCCCTATTCTGGCCCTCTTGGGCCCCTCCTGGTGTCCTGTTGGTGTCTTCTAAATGCCACAAGAGGCTGTCACAAGACGGTGCCCTGCGTGACAACCCTATGGTGCACCCGTGGGGCCATAGTGGGGCCCTCTTGGGGCCCTCTTGTGCCCCTCTTGGGGCCCTCTTAGGGCCCTCTTGGAGCCATCTTATGGGCCAACCAGGGGCCCAAGCGGGCCTCAAGAGGGCCCCAAGAGGGCCCCAAGAGGGCCCCAATACTCGCCCCAAAGACCACTGGGAGGTCTCATCCAAACGCGCCGTTCGATGAGACTTACTGGCGGTGTCTTGCGTCCCTCTTGGGCCCCTCTTGGGGCCCTCCTGGGGCCTCTACCATCGGCGGCAATATGAGCTACTCAAGCCATTGGACTGACCGAGGCGAGCCAGGCAGGCGGAGACGGACGTGTTCCGTGCGCCCCCCCCCCCATCCCCGCGCGATATCCTTTCGACGTCGCGCGGCGCTTCGGCCAGCCAACCAATGATGGCTAGACTGCAAGTCGCTATAAGCTAAGCTACGCTGCAAGCTAACACAGCGGCGCATCTGTGCATGCCACGCCTAGCTAAGCAATGCCGCAACCCAGCCCCACCAACGCTACGGCCAGCAAAGCTGACCAGGCGGACATGCGCCCGAACTCAGGGCGTGAACACAGCGAAGCTGTATGATATCACCCTATCTGATGGCACTGCGCCTCAGCAACGCCATGACGCGCTCCCCGCAGGGAGTTGGCAGATCTGCTGAACAGCAACAGACAGCAAGGGGAGACCAGCGGCAGAGGCAGCGATACACCAGAGGAGGTGGCTAGGGTCGGACAGGCGCCAGGCAAAAAAAAAAAAAAAAAAAAAAAAAAAAAAAAAAAAAAAAAAAAAAAAAAAAAAGGAGCCTGTTTTTTCGAGAACTCCGACATGCGCCAGACCAACAACAACCAACTACAACGCCTGCGTTCCGAGAACTCCAGGGCCTGGATACGTGTGTGTCGCCGACCCCCTGCACGGCCCTTGGTACCCAGCTGGCTACAACATCCCACTAGCCTTCTGGGCGTTGGTGGTTTAGAGAGTGTCCTCTTCCACCCCATCCTTCGTCTCCTTCGGGTAGGGGGGTACCCCTCCCCCTACCCCCTCCCCTGGGCTTGGACGGGAAGGGTCGCGAGGTGTCAGGGCGTCCAAAATTGTCTCGGCGATGGAGCCAACATCATTAGGTCCACCATGGTTTTGGTACCATTTGGGCGTCCTGAGGGGGGGGGGGCTAATTAAAGCCCCCATCTTGGTTGATCGATCTCGCCCAAGATGGCCCCAAGAAGCGCCCAGTAGGCCCCGAGGGGTCCCAAGATGGCCCCAAGATGGCCCCAACAGGCCCCCAAGAGGCCCCCAGGAGGCGCCCACGAGGCCCCAATAGACCCCCCAGCGGCACCCAAGATGCTCCAAGAGGCCTCGACGAGAATGCCAAACCCTTGACTTCACGAAGGTGTTAGCCACATGTTGGCCTCTTGCGGGGTGTGCACTGATTAAGATGACCCTAAGAGCGCCTGGGGGGGCCCAAACTGACCGCCACGATGGCCCAATCTGGCCCAAGACCCAAGATGTCTCATACTGGCTTCCTCTGCGTGCTGACCACTTCCCTGATCGAGGCAATTCCTCTGGGCATCGTTTCTGGATGGGCTGGTGGGGATTCGCGAAGCGTCAACAATTTATCATGTGCTGCTTATGTGGATGTTGCCTCGTAGGGCCTGCCTGCTTTCTGACCGTGACTTGGCATTATATCGTTGCAAACTGGCCTCGTTGAATCATGCTTGTTTTTTTTGTTTTCCTCCAGTGCACTCACCTCGGGACGTCGTAAGGCTCGTCGTCCTCACCATCCCTCTGGGACGCTCTGAGGCCAAGAGCGCGCGTACAGTCATGTCTCCACCAGCGGCGAGCGCGAGCAACTGCCGCCTCGCCTCGCGCCTCGCCGCCAAGGTGGGGTGAAACATACGCACGTGCTCGTGCTGGCTGACACAGGAGTCCTCCAGCAGCCAAGCAAACAATAAGCCGAGCGGCCTGCCCTGGCCAGCGCGGTGAGGCACCGCACTAGGCCTGCTGGTGCGAGAGAGCACGCAATTCCCATGCTCGAGGTGCGCTCCCCGTCTGCACTCGGCCGTGAAGCGGCACGTTCGGATGTAAAAGCGAATGCTGTCGTGCTCGGTGTGGAAAATTGCCAAGGCAAGCGCTCGACCCTCGGGGGGGCCCCCGCCTCCTCCAGGAAGCGGCCCAGCCCCCCCCTCAGCTGCCGAGCTCGCAGCTGCCGCCTGGAAGATGCAATCATCCTCTGGAGGCGGCAGCGCTGGCTCAGGGGACTCAGCGCGCGGCTGTGGCTCAGCTGCGACGTCGCCGTCGCCGCCCCCCAAGTGTGGAATGGCGGCGGCGGCGTCGGGGCCGCCCTCGCAGTCGGACGGCCCAAAGAGGTCCCACTCCTCGTCGGACCCCATCGGCGTCGCAGGCACCATCGGCGCAAGCCCGTCAGACTCGGACTCCACGACGTCACCCTCGACGGCGCCATCCTCGAGCAGCTCGGGGTCGCGGCCGTCCTCGTCGTCCTCGTCGCGAATGGGCGCACAGCCAGACTTGGATGGGCCCGTCGGCGGCCCCCCGCCCCTCTTCCTCTTTCGAGGCTTCGGCGGCGGGGGCTTTACAGACCACAGGTCGCACTCCACGATCGGTCGATCCCGTACTCGTTGCAACGCGGGCTTGAACTGCGCGACCTGTCGGCCATCTGCGAAGAGCTCGTATCACTTCACCTGGAACGGCCGCTTGTCCCAGGAGTCCTCGAAGCACGCCGTCGTCAGCTCCGACAAGGTGTACCTGCCCAAGGTGGCGTCGGGGCCGTCGAGCTCCTTGGTAGGCGACAGGCCCAAGCAGCCTTCGCGATCTTGGGATGGTTCACGATCCATGGAAATGAATGTCGGCCTCCAAGGGGTAGCGTAGTGCAGCGCGATGTGGAAGAACAGCGTGACCTCATCGCCCGCAGGAACCACTTCCAAGCCAGACCCCGCCACGACATCATGCGAACACATTGCAGGGGCCTTCCTGAACGAGAAGCTGATCACGTATTTGTTCGCCGCCATGGTTGCCTTGAAGAGCTTCTCCCCGACGGCGTGCTCCACCACGCGCCACACGACGGCCAACTTGTGCTTGAAGGTCTTGGAGATCTGGGCAGGCCCCTGGCAGATGCACCTCTCGGCTTCCCAGCAAAGGCGCCGAAGCCGACGGGGTGCGTCCAAAGGCTTGCAGTCGACCTCGCGCGCGTGCGCATGCTTGGCAATCCACTTGGCAGACTCCATCTCCACGCTGCTGGCGTCGAGAGCCCTCAGGACCTCGGACATCACAGACTCGCGCCTCCGCATGAACACGGCCGTCGGCAACATGGAGCGCTGGATGGCTAAATCAGCGGGCCGCTCGTCGGCAGCAGAAGCATCGTTCCCAATGAAATACCAGTCCCTGGCATGCCGATCAGCCTCTGCGTTGGATCGTGTCCTCAGGTCCGCCTCCGCCGCCTGGTCAGAACGCCTGGTGGCAGCCGCGGCCCTCTTGTGCGCCATGAGCTTGACGGTCGCAGCCTTGAAGATGGGGCTCTCGAAGACCGACGACGCCGCGTCCTGCTCGCCGTCGGCCAGGGCGACTCCGTTGGGGGCATCGCCGTCGACCGCGCGCACGGTCGGCATTCCCCTTGCCGCGCGCGCGGGCGAGCTCCGTCGCGGCGGCTTCCCGAATGCAGGTCGCCCATTCCGATATTCTTGCAGTGCGGCAGCTGCCAAATCTTCGTATGGTTGCCGCTCCTCGGCGGATAACCCAGCGTACCTGGCAGATAACTCGGCCCCCAGAGCGGCGTCGACGAACACGCCGTTCGCCTCGATATGCACGAACGCCCGCCACACCCACGGCCCCATCGGCGTCGGCCTGCTCGTCCGCTGGGCTCGCCGCACCTCCACTCTCTTCTCCTCGGCGGTGGCCTTGGGCAGCCCGCGGAATATAGCCGTCTGCCACTTCAAGTATTGCCTGAAAAGGGCGAGGCCGCTCATCGATGGCAGGTCGATGCCCCAAGAAAGCTTGCTGTTCTCGCTCTGCTGCAGGTTCTCGCTGTGAGTGCGCTCGGCGAAGGCAGTGCTGGTTGTCATTAGCGGGAGAATCCCCGCAAGCTCGGCCTTCGCCATCCTGCCGCCGATCCCACCGCGGGAACTGTAGTACTCCTTCCAGGACGCCGTGTAGGTATCAAGGACGCACTCGCTGGTGTTGGCCAGGTACTCTTCTGTGGCGCCGTCGTCCCTCAGCACGTTGAACGTCTTGTACGGGGTCTTCCTGTGCCTGACCTCCACGAGCTCGTAAGCGGCCGCTGCCAGCCTCGAGCATGCACGGTGCGCGTCGAGCTGGAAAATCTCCGTCACCATGGTCGCCAGGGGCCAACTGCCGTCGTCGAAGATGAGAGCCGTCATCTGCTTCGTGAACTTCGCAACCTGCTTGGCATCACTGGCGGCCCAAATCGGGTAATCCCTGGAGCCGCTATCGATCAACTTCTTCTGTTGACGCACCTCCCATTCTGCTCCAGAACGCGACAACTCATCCAATATTAAGTGGTGGCACGGCCCGTGGGTCCTGAGTGTGGGGGCTCAAGTCTACGCCGAACTCGCCGCCGACCGATGGCGAAAGGGCGCGGCTTCGCCCCCTGGGCCCACGGCCGCCTGACACGGCGCATCGAGGCGCCCCCGCCCTGTCAAGCAGCCGCGGGCCAGGTCGAACATCGCCATGGCGAAGCCGAGTCCCCGCCCCGTCGGTTGGTAGAGGCAGGTCGGCGTAGAATTGAAACCTCGGACCTCGAAAACAAGTAAATGTCATCGCGGAAGCAACCGCTCTGCAGCCAAGACAACGTTTGCGTCTGTCGGGACTTGTTCTCCTCTCGCCACACGCTCGGGTCCTTCGGCTCGTCCACGTCGGCTCCAGAATCAACAGCCCGATCGACTGCTGGCTCCTCTGGATCCGCTGTGCCACTGGCAGCTCCAGCGAAATATGTAGAATACGCACTCGGGAAAATGTTGTGCACAAACGTTGCCAGCCCAAGCCCGCAAACTGAATAATGAGACCCCGTCCAATTGCTCCTGTCCATCACGTCGGCCAGGCGCCTCGTGAGCGCCCGCACGCCGACGGTCATCATGATGTGCAATGTCTGAGCCCGACTTCGGCAGCATCCGTTCTCATAGTGCTCGATCCTGTCAGCCCTGCGCCAGTCGCCGTTGAAGAGATTGCGCACTACCTCTCGCATGCGCACGTCCTCTGCGCGCTCGATCGGCATGAAGGTGTCGATGACGTCGGAGCGGTGCCGAGAAGCCTCCAAGTCACTGCAGGCGCCGTGGATTATGACCAGCCTTTCTCTGCTGAGTTCTCGCATGGCGTGTCGAAGGCCCATCGTGTTCCCGCGCAGGCTCAGCTGGGGGCGGATGATGCGAGTGCTGACCTGGCCTTGCGCAGCCGAGCCCAATGTCGCCACCTTCGCTTTCTTGTGGGCATCGCAGACTAGGTGTAATGAATCTCTGGCCGGGTGTCGGCTCCGAACTCCGTTCTCGTACCTGATGTTTGCTCCAGCTTCGTCGCTAATGATCAAATCCACTGATCGGTGAAATGTATCGTCTAAATTCTTATCTAATGCTGTGTCCCCAATGTGGTTCATGAACGCGGTGATGTATTCAGCGCCTGTGCCGTCACCGCTCTGCAGCAGCGTGGGCTCATGAACTGCGAAAGTCATGGTGCGGACTGAGTGGTCGGCCAGGTGCTGCTGCAAGCAGTACGCGCGCATGGATGATGCAACGTGCACTTCGTACTTGCTCTTGCTGGCCTCCACGATCGCCGCTGGCCCTGTACTCGGTGTCGGAGAGACGACCCTGATGTGGTGCTTGGTGCCGTCGTACATCCGCATGCGGAACTGGACAATGGGTATCGTACGTATTGGATCTGCATCGCCGACTGAATGTGCAGGCGTGCGGACCGAGTGCAACATGAACTCTGAGAAGGTGTTTGCAGTCGTCTTCAACACCTCGTAGAAACAATTGCTAAGAGCACCAAGCACCTCTGATAATTTCGATTGGTGCACACCGCTTTCATGACTGAGCCTCGTGAAACTGCACATCGTCGAAGTGGCGCGGGAGCCGTCACTGGCGCAAATCAACATGTCCAATAGCAGCGGTACACCAGGCACAATATCTTGATCCCTGAGAGGCTTCAACTGCTGAACTATTGCTCGAGCCTCTCTGGATATGAGTCGGGCGCCCCGCTTGTTGACTGCACGGGGCGTGTAGCACTTCATGGGCAAGGCTCTGAACAACTCTACGCGGTCGGCTGCATGGGCTGGCGCAGCTACAAGAGACACGCTGGGCAACGGCAGCGGCCCTCCGAAATCTTCGTCGTCGGAAATGATGGGCATGTGCGGCCCTCCGAAATCTTCATCGTCGTCGGAAATGATGGGCGCCAGCGGCCCTCCGAAATCTTCATCGTCGGAAATATGGGCGCCAGCTGCCGCTGCCATGGCAGCAATGGCGATCCTCAAGAGGATCATCTCATATGAAGCGTTCGCACTCCTCTGCGAATCATATGGAATATGAAACTGATTGGCCAAAACGGCTTCGGCGGAGGGAGGAGGACAAGACAACATTCATGAGAGCGACCAGGGAATGGACAGCACAGAGGGGAGGAGGGAGGAATGAAATGTGGAGGATGACGATGCCCTGGCAATCAACTCGGGCCCAAGGGACAGCAGGGCGATGACAAGGCGACGGGGGGAGGGGCGAGGGGGAGGAGCGAGTGCGGAGGGGCAAGAGCGAGGAAGACAGAAGGAGAGAGAGAGAGAGAGACCGCGATGAGGAGGAGTAAGTGATGGGAGGAGGAGGTGAAGAGGGAAGGGCACGTACGTGCTGCAATGGTGTTTGGCATGGCCCCGCCACGCCAAGAAGGCCCCAAGACGGCCCAAGAGGGTCCCAAGACGGCCACTGAGAGCCCCAAGGCGGCCCAAGAGGGACCCCAGAGCGCCCCGCGAAGCCCCCAAGACATCCCCGAGAGGGCCACAGGGGGCCCCCAAGACTGCCCCAAGGGAACCCCGCGATAGCCCGAGCCCTCCAAAACGGCGGTTGTCCCGAAGGTTGCCCCAATGACCCCATCTCCCCCATCACCCCCTGCATCCTTATTCTGCTCCGTCATCCTCCTCCTCCCATATTAATCCTCCTTTTCTCCTCGTCGTCGCCGTCGTCGCCCACCGTCGTCGGTGTCGTCGGATGTCGTTGCCGTCGTCGATCGTCGTTCGTCGCCGTAGTCGTCGTCCATCGTCGTCGTCACCGTCGCCGCCTTGGAGAACGGAGGGGGAGGGTTAAAAGGAGAGGCGGTGCGTGAGTGCGAGGGAGAGGGACGGCGATGGCCCACCAAGAATGCATCAGCACAACCGTCGGGGCAACCATCGGGACAACCGTCGGGGCAACCATCGGGAAGATCATCGGGACACTTATCAGGGCAACTACTTGGACAACCATCGGGACATCCATGTATCTCGGTTCTGTTTTGTTTTGTTGCCGAGACCGTGCGCCCGTCCAAAGTTGTTTGTGTTCGGTTGTTGTTGGTTGACCTTGCTGTAGTGTTGCCTTCGATGGTGTAGCAGTAACTGGTACTCCGCGTGGAATCGCCCTCAAAAGCTTTCACCCATTCAGTAGTCCGATCGTGCTATAATGGTTGCCCGATGGTTGTCGTTAAGGTTTCCCCAATGGTTGTCCCGATGGTTGTCCCGATGGTTGCCCAGATGGTTGGCGCGACGGCTGCCCCGATGGTTGCCCCGATGATTGCCCCGACGGTTGTCCCGATGGTTGTCCAGATTGATGTGCCCGATAATTGGCCCGATGGTTGTCTTATCGTTCATACGGTCTGCTTTCAAGCAATGATCATTAAAAAAACGCACTTTTTCCGCGAACAGAACCCCATCAACGAATTTTCGGGGGGGCGCTGCGCCCACCAAAACACCACCGCCGATCTTTCCCCGCGGAGGGCGCGCCATCGCGCCCTGATGAACGGTTCCACGGCTGAAACCCATCAAAACCCATCTCCCAGAGACCCCACAGGAAGGCCCGAAGGAAAGACCCAATCCTACCACCATAGGCCATACTGCGCGCCATTTCGGTCAAGAACTTTTGCTCAGCGTGTCGAGAAGGCGGCCTGGGTGACACGCTATGCCCTGCTAGCTGGTAGAGTGTCGCTCCGCGAGGCGGGAGGCTGGGAAAGGCTCGGGACGTTGACGCTCGGCGATGGGGAAGTGGCTAGCGCGTCGCTTCGTGGTGGGCCAGAACCGGCGAAGCGACACGCTGAGCCGAAGTTCCCGACCGCATGTTGCTCGAGATCGCTGGGCAACGTTCTGATCCTAGATGTATTACCCGTAACACAAGCAGAAACTTTTGCAGGCCCGCGCGAATGTCTTGGATCGGCGCTGGACCACCCTCCCTGGCGTGCGGAGCGCGCCAGGGGCGGCGCCGGAGGCGTTGCCAGGGGTCTCCAGCGCCGATCGGAGACATCCGCGCGGACCTCTGGAAGTCTGTGTTCATGCCATGATATGCTCTGATGGTTGCTCTAGATCGCCGGGCCACGTTCTGATCCGCCTTGCCCCCCTTCTGGATGCTCTTGACAGATCTGCCGCGCCCGGGCGCCGATACGTCGGCCATGGGCCCCCGATAGCGGATCCGCAGGGTCCTGGGCGGGGCGGGCTATCAAGCTTAAGTCGGGCCTGTCCCCCTACAGGGGGATTTTCGGCGAAAAATAAAAAATCCCCCAAAAATAATCCAGAAATAGTCCGGGACTATTTTTGGAGTATTTTTTCACCTTTTTGGCATATTTTTTGGGGTACTTTTTATTTTTCGTCGAAAATCCCCCTGTAGGGGGACACGCCCGACTTCATATCAAGCCCCAATCGATGCATCCCCCCTGAGCCTGTCCCACCAAAGATCCTCGTCGTCCAGTGTTCGGGTCATAGCTCGGCTCTCCGGCGCCCGTTCGGGACGATCGGGGCAGGCCGGGAACGCCCTCGGCGAGGCGCAGCTGCCGGAGCGCACCCCGAGGCCGGGCCCCGAGGCTGGAAAACCGCCGATGCATGCCCCCCCTGGGCCTGTCCCCGCCCTGACTAGAGGCCTCCCAGATGGGGTCCGAGTGGATGGGGTCGGAAGATCGCGCGGCATCGCCGACGTATCTATCGCCGATGCATCGGCGATGCATCTGAGCCGTCGGTGGTGCATCGGCGACGCCGGCGTGGAGAACATCGGGCTCAACATCGAGCAGCATCGCCGATGCATCTGCGATGAGGCGCGATTCTCCGACCCCGTCTACTCGGACCCCATCTGGGAGGCGTAGACTAACGCTGCCCTTCGGGCTGCACGTAAGAAAATGTAAGAATGACCCTAGGCAAGATTGACCTTTGGTGCGCGGCTTTGGGGGGCCGGGAGGGACGCCACATCCAAGCAAGTCAAGCGCGCCAGCCTGTGCTGGGGGGCCCCCTGTGAACCCGCACAAAGGTCAGTCCGGCAAGAAGGGTCACTCTTGCGGGTAGGCGCATCGCCGATGCTGCGCGATTCTGAAACCCCATCTACTCTGACCCCATCTGGGCGGCTCAGATCGGGCGTTGCTTAATAAAGGGACTGTGAATTTGGGGGAGACGTGTGCACCTTTCGAGCCTCTTTTGGGTCCCAGTGGGCCCCCTCAGAGCACAAAAGATGCAACTTTCTCCCCCCTCATTTACGGCAACGCGCCCGTGGGGGAAGTGAGAAGGAACGGACCTTCCCAGAAGGCGGCGGAGCTTCTCAGAAGCCCCGCCGGCATTCTGAGACGTCCTCTGTCCCATCGGGGAAGACCGAGAAACCTTTTCAGAAGGCCGGAGGCCTTCCGAGCCTTCTGGGAAGGCCCGCCCCTTCTGCCTTCCCCCCAGGCTCACCGCCGACATTTTATCGCCCTTCCATCAGGCGGATTTTGGGCGAAAAAATAAAAATAGTTAAAACAAATGCCCCCCAAATAGTGAAATAGTTTAAGAATCGTCCCCAGACTATTTTTCAAACTATTTTTCAATAAATATTCCTCCTGTAGAAGGACAGGCCCGACTTAGCGCAACGCCCGATTCGACCAGCGCTGCCCCCATCCGGAGGACTTCGACGGCTCCACCGCGCCCGGGGCGCCTCTTCGAGGGCGCAGAGCCGCACCGCCGCCCGGAGCTCCGCGGCCGCGCCCGCGGCGCGCTTGGCCACCACCAGCAGCTCCTGCGGGGGGGGGGCTCCCCAAGAGTGAGGGGCAACGATAGAAAGGGGGGCTGGCATAGGGGGGGGGCTGGCATGGGGGGGGCCGGCATACAGTCAACCAGTATAGTACGGATGGGCAACCTTCCCAAGGGTACCCTTGCATCCTTGCCTCCTCGGTCCAGCCTTCGCCGCTTTGGCTGGCCGCGCCCCGCTCGAAAAGCTTCGAAATGGGCGTCCAAGGCCCTTGCATCCTTATCGCGCATCCTTACTATACTGGTTGACTGTAAGGTCGATGCATGCCCTCCTGTACGCCTATCCCCCTCTATCGTTGCCCCCGTAAGAGGGGTGGGGTCGGAGGATCTGGCCGCATCGCCGGTGCATCGGCTACGTCGGCGTTAGTAGGCCGGGCTCCACGTCGAGCTGCATCTCCGATGCACCGCCGATGCGGCGCGACTCTCTGGCCCCATCTACTCCTCCAGCCCCATCCGTGAGGCCCAGAGCCCCGAAGCGTCAGAGCCCAGCGTCTCCAGAGCAGCAAAAGCCAAGACCCTCCCAAGGAGGCCCCCGAGAGGCCCCCGCGAGGTGCCCCCAAGAGGCCCTGCGAGGCTCCCAGAATGCCACCGCGAGCCTCGCGAGCACGCAGGCAAGCGCCAACGCTGCGTTGCGGTGAGCCCCACAAGATGCTCCCGAGACGACCCTGCGCGGGGCCGCTCCCCGAAACGTCAGAGCCCAACGCTTCCAGAGCAGCAGAGACGTGATAATGTTTGCGATCTCCCTGGTGGCGCACCGATGCTCACCGAGGTCCTGAGAACTGGGTGCTCGACTGCCTGCAACATGGCAAGCACAGCAGCTCTCTCCTCGGGAGAGAGCGGGACGGCAGGTCCCTCCCCCAGTCCGGCGGACCGAAAAGGAAATTCCACGTTCTCTGCCGTTTTCGTTAGTTTCTGGGGCTTTCCAAAAGCTGCACCTCGCCGGGAGCGCTCCGGGGGTGCCCAGATCGTCCCGGCTTAATTCGGCGGCTCGCCCAGGGGGGGAACACAGAGGGGCCAGGCCTTCTCAGAAGGCTCTGGAGGCTTCTGGCCGTCTGGGAGGCCGCCTGAGCTTTCTCCGAACACACAAGCGTCCTCTCAGAAGGCGCAGTGGCTTCTGAGAAACCCCGCCGCCTTCTGAGAAGGCCCGCGCTCTCTGACTTTCCCCGTGGTCTCGCCGCCACTATATTACAACTTTCGGAAGTCTGCGCGAATCTTTCGGGTTGGGGCTGGACTCCGCTCCCCAGCGCTCGGAGCGCGCCTGGGATGACGCCCGAAGCGCCGCCAGGAGTCCTCCAGCGCCGACCCGAAAAACCCGCTCGGACCTCCGAAAGCGTGTGCTCATGCAGTTTTTGCCTTTCTCGGCTGTTTCTTGCAAGGCCAGGTGACCTACCAAGGTTCCATCCTGGGCCCGTTCGGCGCCTGAGCCCAGTCTTCGGTCGAGCGGTTTCAAGATCGCGCCCGTTTGCCTGTCGGATGGGCCAGATTCGCAGCATCCTGTTGGAGTTGAGCCCGCTCGGCAGCTCATTCGGCGGCCGAGCGGGCTCAGACGCCGAACGGGCGCCGAACGGGCTCGGTTGGGGCGGGGCACGCGTCGTTCATTTCTAATCGTGCTCATTTCTAATCGTGCTCGTTTCTAATTCTTCCTGGCCCCCTAGTGGCCAGGAAGAGGCCCAGGACAGAACAACTAGAAATGAAAGGATCTTGGCCCCCCGAAAAATCAAAGAACTTCAGAAGAATTCAACATGAACGCTGTAGAGGAGGGGGGGGGATTCTGGAAAGGACGCGCCATCCGTTTGGGAGGTGGGCACGGATGGGGGGAGGCCATCCATCTCCCCCGCCCCGCCCAGCGCGCGGGGCGCCCACGAGGCGCCCACGGACGTCCACGTGGCAAAACCCCGGCGGGCCGTTCGAGCTGCGTAGGGGGCAGCAGGAAGAAGCTCCGAGGGCAAACGCTGCGCGAGGCATGTCCAGAGCTGGGTGCAGGACGCACGTTCGATCTCGCAGCCCCTCCAGGGCTTTTCCCACACCGCCGACCACGGCACCCCCCACGCAATTTGGTGGGATCGGGTCGGGTAGATATTTCGGCCAGCGCCTATATATATATATATATATATATATATATATATATATGCTTGCACTCCCCCTGTTCTCCTTGAGCCCTAACTGCCCTTTCTCACCACACCATTTTTCAGAGACAGTGCCATTCTTTGTCTGCGCCGGTCTGCCGGAGGGTTCGTGCCCTCACGGCAACGGCCCACCTCGGAACTATACTAAACTACCCTCGGTGGTGAACGGGGAAGGCGGGGGGTGTGCAAGGCAGACATGTCTTGCAGGTGCCCCTCGTCTCTGTTGTGGGGCACGCGCTTGCCATCAATGCGCGCATCAGGGCCGACAGTGCAGCATCTGGCGGCACTGATCCAGCAAAGGCTCAGCAATCGAAGCGAAAAGACCTATGCGTTCGCGTACTTGGGGCGGCAACTCCGGGAGCAAGCTGGCCGCAGCCACCTCTTGAACATAAATCTCCATCGTGCGGCTGGCTTGCCAGCGCCCCTGCCACTGCAGCATCGGCAAATTCTCCCACTGCTCGAAATGCCATGTCGCACCGCCGGCCTTCAAGCTGGCGGGGGTGAGGCCCACGCCATCTGCCGTGGAAATGCCTAAAAACCTGGTGACGGCGTCGTGCGCTGCTCGGAACTGCGCCGCGGAGCCTGTCCACAACCGCTCCTGGGGCGCCAATCTGGCCAGCCAGGCTTCCAAGAGAGGGACCGCGATTTCATCGTCCACCCGGACGTGCTGCAGTCGCGCCGCCTTGTGCCGCGTCTTCGGTTCCCGCACTCGCGCGTAGAGGCGCGGCGCGGTCGACAGCAACGCCTCCGGCAACAGCGCGTCCTCCTTCACGAGCTTGGTCAATTCCCCTGGCCGCAGCATTGCCACGAACCCCAAGAGCAGCAAGGCCGCCACATCATGCCACCCCCACAGCAGTGCGACCGACACCTGTGCCAGAAGCACTGGTACTGGCGTTGGACGGTGGTGGTATGCTGGAACTAGCTTCTTCCACGCCCACGCGACATCCCAGGCAAGCTGCAACTGCCTCTTGAGATGCCTATGCTGGTCGATCCAGCCGTTGATGGTCTCGACATATATCCCCAACGGGCGCTCGCTGTCAAACATGTGCTGGCAATAGGCTGCAAGCGCCTGGGCGACCTCCCGGGGCTCCGCCTCTGACAGATGCTCGAATGTAAGTCGCAGGAAATCCCCCAACCATTGCGCAAAATCCTGCATGTAACGTGCCCTCCGTGAGATGGTAAGAGGCTGGAGAGGCCTGTAGGAGGCAGGGGACGCGCCTCGACGGTGCACGAGCGCCTGTCTCCTCGGGCCCTCGCCGGGGAAACCAAGCGTGCCGTCGAACAGGCCCCAACTCCATGGCCACGCTGCCCGGGGCTCCGGCAGCAATAACTTAAAGAGGAATCTTGCCCAATCGCTGGTCGTCCGGGACTGTCTCGGCAAACTGGCCCACTGGTCGAAAGCTCGAGCAAAATCGTTCCCCTCGTATCCCAACCACGCAGGGCCGTCCCTACACGGTCTCACCTGTCTGCCCCGCGTCGGGTCGTCGGCCACATTCAGCCTCGTGGGGGCGAAGTGCGCTCTGGGATAATGGCCGTGCCCCACGGTGTGCGGCAGCAGCGCGCGCAACTCCTCATTCACGTACCACGATGGCGATCGGCCCTTCGCCACCGCTCCAATTGTCACAGTGGGGTCCATAAAATATGTGGCCCGCGATTTCGGAAATTTACGTGCCACTCGCTCCATGGCCTCCCCATAGGCCCGCAGTTCTTTGATGTTGATGTGCGCGCTGTGGTCCGCAACCTCTTGGATGAGCACTCTCCAAGGCGCAGCCGCCATAATCTCATTGACGAGCGGCGCCTCCAGGTCGCCTGCGCTGGTGACCTCGCCCTGCCTCCCGGTGGGGGCCTCGCCGGGGTCGCCCGCGAACTCGCAGACGATCATCAACCTTGCCGCCCACTCCTCGGTGGACAATCGGCGGCGGCCGCATCGCCGTTCCGGCCAATCCTGCAGCGGTCGCCCATTCACCTCAATGCACCACCTCCTCTTCGAGACCTCTTTTCCTCCCATGCCAATGTGCAGCAAGGCCGAATGCGCCAAAGCGCCCTGTAGCTCCGCTGCGTGCCAGCCCCAAGACGTGGGGCAGAGGCTGAACGCCGTCGCATCCCACGTCTGCCTCCTGACGCAGCTCCTCAGGGACAGGCACGTCTGCAAGATGAAGTTGTCCCGCAGCGCTGCTGGCGACATGGGGCGCCGGCCCCATGGGTGTCTAGCGCTGCGGCAAGGGGGCCTCGAAGCCCGGCTGAACGTGCCACCGGGTACCTACGCGATCCAGAGCCTCACCCGGCGCTGCCCCCCCCTTCAGGTGAGCTTCGAGGGAATTGCGTGCCCGTCGGTCCCAGACGGTCCGATCCCTAGCCTCATCCTTGTATACGCTGATGAGCTGCATGCGTTGCGGCGCTGGCGCCTCGTCTGGAGCAGCCAAATACAAGCGTCCTGCGCGGTCCAGCTTGCGGAGGAATGCGACGATCTCTCTCCTCCTCCCTCGCTGCCGGGCTCGTGGCGCCGCAGCCGCCGCCGCAGGGGGATCCACCACCTCCAGCAACGACGGGTCGAGGAAGCATGCGGCCTCGAGCACGCCCAGATCCTGCACTGGGTTGTAATCGGCGTCCACGCTCAGGAACTCCGCGCGCGAGGCGACGAAATCTCCTCCTACAAGCTTCGCGGGCGCAGAAAGCTCGTCCCCCGGCTGCGCTCGCAAGATCCTGGCCGCGTACTCGGCCATCGCCTCCAGCTTAGCCGTCCCGCGGCCGCCCATTGAGATGGGCGGGCGGCGGCTCAGCTCCACCTTCCTCCTCAGCTCGGCTACGATCCATGTCTGCACGTAGCTGAGGGCCTGTCCGCTCCTAGCGCTGGGTGGGGCCACCCTGCGACCTCGCAGCGCCAACTGCGAAAGCATCCCCACGATGCAGTTGACCATCAGGTCGACGGCGCGGCGGCGACGCTGCCGCTGTCGGCGGCGTCGAGAGCGGGGAGCCGCGGCCGGCCTCCAAGAGTGCGGAGGCGGGCGCGGCCAGGGGCTGGAGCTGGAGTCATGACGCTGGTCCGTCCTTGGGGCGTCATGGTCGCCATGTCCCTGACGATGTTCAAGTCCAAAACTGCCCCAGTGCTTGGCGGCCCCGGTAGAGGCCAACCACGCTCCGAGTGCCGAGCGCGAGCTGAGCAGGCAGGCTGGGAGCGAACAACACCACTCGTCCAAGCGATGCTGCCACGACTCCTGGTCGTCGCCTGTGGTGCCCAGCACGCTCATGAATTCTGGTGCATTGCAGGCCTCCTGCCTCAGGCCTGCGCTCGCCCGCTGCCCGCGGCAGCGGTTTCTCATTTGCCTCCCTTCGGGCCTTTCGGGCGCCCGCTGGCCTCGTCTCCTTCCTGGCCTCCTGCTGCCGCCCCTCATCCTCCTCCTCCTCCTGCTCCTCCGGCTCCGCGGCGGCGGAGCTCGCTGAGTGCAGCGGCGTCCTTGACGAAAACCATCGCTGCCGCGGTCCAGCTCGGACAGGACAGCCGGCCGAACGGGCGCAGTGGGTCCTGCGCTGGGATCTGACCGAAGGCGTTCCAGGGGGGCTCTGGGAGGTGCGTCAGCAGCCATGCCATCGACCAGCGGCCCTGGTCGAGCGAGGCCTGCTCGACTGCGCAGAGCAGGAGCATCAAGGTGGCCTCGGCGCGCTCCCATAGCTGGGCCTGCATCTGGTTTGCCGCGGTCGCCAGGCCGTACGCAAGGTATGCGACACCCCGTGCCTCTCGAAGAAGACACGCATTGAATTGGCCCGCATGTCGGACTCGCCCGCGTCCGCAGCCAATGCGCGCCTCGCATTGGCCCTCACGGTGCTGGTGAAAGTCGCCGGGTTGCTCTCGAGCTGCCTCCTGAACAACTCCATTGCCGCCGCCCCCTTTGCTCCAGGAAGCTTGGCGCTTCCTCCCGCTTCCTCGGATCCGGCCATCAGCGTCTGCAGGGGGTCCCCTGCTGTGGCGCCCTGGCGCGCGAGCAAGGACGTCGTGGCCTGGCTCTGGGCAGCCAGCGCCTGCAGAGCTTCGACGATTGCGCTCTGCCCGTCCAAATTGCTCATCCCTAGTGCGGTCCTCGGAAGACCCGGTGCCCTCCCTGGGCTCGCCGTCGGCGGAGCCGCCTTGGGCGGTGGAGAGTGTAGCATTGCACTGGGCAGCGGCGTCGAAGGCAATCCTCCGACGCCTCCTCCGGCGATAGGCGTGGCCCGCGCCGGCGCTGCTCCAGCCAGTGCACGCGCCGCGCCTAGTGCTCCCTGCGGCGCCGGGGGCGAGTTCGCGAAGAGGCCGCGTCCTCCGGCGCAGCGTGCAGCAGGCGGAAGGCCTGGCGCTGCTGCCGGTCCTTTCGGCACCGCCCCACACGCCGTGGAACCGCCGGGCGGCTGGATGGCGCGCCCGTCCCCGGGAAGGCCAGGAGAGCCCGAGCGGCTGCGGCCGAACAGGGATTGCAAGCCGCCCGAGGCCACCGCGGAAATGGCGGACCGGAAGCCTCCTGGATTCTGGGCAGGTGGAGGTGGCCCAGCGCCTCGCCCGGCACCGAGGGCCCTCTCGATCCTTGCAAGGCTGTCGACGAGAGCGCCCTGCTGCTCCAGGACGCCCTCCACTTGGCCCCTGAGGCTCGCGATGTCGGCGGCGTTGGAAGCAGCGGTCGGCCTGGGCTGTTTGGCCTTGGCACCGCGGCCGGCTCCTGCCAAGCCAGGGGGCTGCCCACCAATTGCGCCAGCTGTGATGGCGCTGGCGGCAAGGGCAGGTGGTCCCAACGACGGCGGCGCAGCGCCAGCGAACAGCCCCGAACCTACGGCGAACGGGTTGACCCCCTCCTCTCCTCCACGCAACTGCTCCTCGCCTGCCTCCTCTTCCTCCTCTGCCTCGCGGCCCTCCGCCAAGAGGCGCGCGCCCTCGTCGAAGTCCCCGTGGCCCGGCGGATGGAACCCAAAAGGGGCCGCCATCCATACCGACGATTCGTCGGGCCAGAGGCCCGCCTCGCCGAAAGGCGCGGCATCGCCGGTCTGCATCTCCGAGCTGAACGTGGCGAGGGAGTGGGGCAGCACGATGTACGCGATCGCGATGATCTCGTCGCCCACCGGATCCCCATTGTCGTCGGCTCCGGCGACCTCCGCAGCCCCCACCACGAAGGCGGGATTGAAGACGTCGGCTGGGACCACGTACTGGCCCTCGTGCTCGTCCATCGCCAATAGCAGTGCGGCCATCTCCCGCCCTGGCTGGTTCGACACAGTGTCCACCACGGTGAGGAAGCCCCATCGCGGCACAGCTTGCGACATAGGCTCGATGCGGGGGTGGTCTCCAGGAACGGGAGACTGCACGCGCTTGCTAGAGCCTGGACAGCTACGGAATCGGCGGGTGAAAGCATAGAGGAGACATATATACACAAATATATTCCAAGCAGCGGTTGCGGCCTTTTGTGTTCTTTGCTTTCTTTTCTCTTTTTTTATAATCTCTACGGCTACCCAAATCTCAAGTCGGGCACGTCCTCCTACAGGCGCATGTTGGAAGAAGAATGGAACAGAGTTGGGAAGTGTGCAAAGATAGTGAAAACTAGTCGGTCAATCGTGCCCGTCTGATTCTTCGACTATCTTTGTTGCATATTCCTCCGGTAGAAAGAGACGTGCCCGATGTGACCCAAGTCAGTGGATGGGTCCGCCGAGGTGTCGCCCGGTGCCGGCCCAGCGGGAGCCCCGTGGGCTCCTCGTGCGCTGGGCGGGTCGACCGAGGTTCTTTCCCTGGCGCCCGCCCGCGGGCGCCTCGCGGGCGCCTCGCGCGCTGGGCGGGTCGGCCGAGGTTTCGCCTGGCGCCCGCCCGCGGGCGCCTCGCGGGCGCCTCGTGCGCTGGGCGGGTCGGCCGAGGTTTCGTCTGGCTTGCACCGCGTGTATCGCACCACGCAGCCTGTACAGCATAGCTTGCTCTGCACAGCATGCACCACATCACTTATCCCACGCAGCTTACAGCACATATATTACACCGCATAGCTTGCACCACGTACCTTACACGACCTATATTGCATTGAGTAGCTTTCACCCGCACGACATAGCTTGTACGACATAGTTGTTCCACACGTCCTGCACCAAACACATGGCACACCATAGCGTATCACACGCACGCCGCATAATATTTATTTTGCCGCGTAGCCTACACCACATAACTTACGCACTGTTCTTTCACACCGTAGCTTACACCGACACGACATATCTAACACCACATAACTTGCACCACACAGCTTGCACCGCATAACCTGCGCGGTCTCGGGGTCGAATCGCCCCCATCCAAAAATCGTAATTTCATTGTCCTTCCCTTCTCTCCGCTTCGCGCTCTCTCTCCCTCTCCCTCTCTCTCTTTCCCCCTCTTCCTCTCTCTCTCTCTCTCTTCCCCTCTCTCTCTCCGCCTCTCTCCGTCCCTGCCTCTCGTGCTGGGCGGATGCGGCGACCCCAGGAGTTCGCCGGGCGGTCGTCTCGGATTCGTTTTTTCGGTAAAGGCCTCTGGCGTGACCACGGTCCCAGTGCAGTGCTACTTGGCGGTTCGGGGGAAAGGGGGAAGCATTTTGCCCCCCCCTCCCCCCCAAGGACGACCACGACGACGACTACGGCGACGGCGGCGACTGGGAAGCTGAGTGCAAAGCCAAGCACTTCCACAAGCTCTCCCGAATAACCCTAGAGTCCTTACGACAGGGACCCTTACCGAGTGGGGCCTTCTAAAGGTAGCACCACTAAGGAAGCCTAATTAAACACATCCTTCGTAAGGATCCCATGATACTTGCATCCCACTACGATAACGAATCCTTATTGAACTATCCTCACTAGAAGGCTCCTCACTGACTGGGCCCTTACTGAGGATCCCGTGAAGAAAGGCCCCTTCCTGACGACCGCGTGCAAACGACATCCGCAAGCAGATCGCCCCCCGCTGAGCGGGATCCTTTTCACGGATGCCTTGATCTTTCTGTTTTTTGGTTTGAGAAGCATCCTTGCGAATATTTGGCGCCACGTGGGCGCCCCGTGCACTGGCTGGGCGTGGAGAGGCTTCGCCGTGCGGGCGGCCGTGGGCGCCTCGTGGGCTGCTTGTGCGCTGGCTGGGCGTGGCGAGGCTTCGCCCCCGCGGGCGTGGCGAGGCTTCGCCCCGCGGGCGGCGGCCCGTGGGCGCCCCGTGGGCGCCGCGCGCGCTGGCTGCGTGTGGAGAGGTGTCGCCTGCGGGCGTTGCGACTTTTCTGCCCGGGGGGCGGCCGTGGGCGCCTCGTGGGCCTCCTCCTCCTCCTCCTCCTCCTCTCCTCCTCCTCCTCCTTCCTCCTCCTCCTCCACTCCTCCTCCTCCTCCTCCTCCTCCTCCTCCTCCTCCTCCTCCTCCCCCTCCTCCTCCTCCTCCTCCTCCTCCTCTCCTCCTCCTCCTCCTCCTCCTCCTCCTCCTCTCCTCCTCCTCCTCTCCTCCTCCTCCTCCTCCTCCTCCTCCTCCTCCTCCTCCTCCTCCTCCTCCTCCTCCTCCTCCTCCTCTCCTTCCTCCTCTCTCCTCCTCCTCCTCTCCCCCCCCCCTCTCCTCCTCCTCCTCCCCCTCCTCCTCCTCCTCCTCCTCCTCCTCGTGGACGCCACAGACCTTATTCCGCATGGCTTGCGCTACGCAACTTGCACCTCATGGTTCACACCAAATATATACGCCCACGCTGGAAATGTATGCGCCATCGACACACGTTCGGTGATAATAACTTGAACGCTAATGGCTGACGCCTTCGCTGAGTTGGACGAGCCTGCTGGGAAGAAGTGTGTGTTTGTGTGTGTGTGTGAGAGAGCCATACTTTTTGTTCACCTACTCCTGCTCCTCTTGCCTTCCCTCTTCCTCTTCCAATCCGTCATTCTCCTTTCCCCCCATTCCCGTGCTCCTTCTCCTCCTGCCCCTTCCGCTGGAGGAAGAACAAGCTGCATATACACAAACCCTCGCAACTCCGAACAATTGTGTCCGTGTCGATGTTTCTCCCTCGACCCGCTCATCCTGCTGAGAGGGCTTGGAAAAGATGGGCCCCCAGCGGACAAGGGAGGCCGCGCCCCGTCCTCGTCGGACAGGGAGGTCATCCCCGCCAGCGCCCTCCGGAGCTCGGCCGCCGACTCCATGGCGGAGAGCTGCGCGAACTCCGCCTGAGCCCGCCTCACCGCGGCGTGGTTCTCGCCGATGGAGGTCTGGAGCTCATGCTGCCTCGGCTGAGGAGGAGGAGGAGGAGGAGGAGGAGGAGGAGGAGGAGGAGGTGAAGGAGGAGGAGGTGAAGGAGGGTGAGGAGGAGGGAGAGGAGGAGGAGGAGGGGGAGGAGGAGTAGGAGGGGGAGGAGGTGGAGGAGAAGGAGGAGGAGGAGGAGGAGAAGGAGGAGGAGGGGGAGGAGGAGGAGGAGGAGGAGGAGGAGGAGGGGGGAGGATACCACGATGCATCCTCGCCGCCCTGCACGGGCGCGCCCCCTCGTTCAGCTCTTCGTCGCCTGCTTCTCGAGCGCAGCTCTTCTCGGAGCTTGTGGGGCCCCGAGACAGAGGGCCCTGAGGCGAGGAGGCCTTGAGCAGTGCAACTTCGACCTGGAAGCCCTTTCCTAATTATCCTGAGGGCCGCGTCCCTCAGGACCCCATCTTCGGAACACAGATGTTGCACCTTTCCACTCCTTCAGGGCCACTCCGCCCTGGGTCTGCGCTGGCACGTTTGACGCTCCCCCATCGTTTGCACCCCCTCCCTAACACAAACACAATCTCAAGAAAATGGGCAAACCGCCTGTATGGCCGATCTCAGAAACCCCGAATCCAGAGATGCCGGCACCTCTTGGGAGGCGCATCTGCTACTTCCGCCAGCTTCCGTCTGCCTTCCGCCGGCGACACCGCCCCCGCTCTACTTCCGCCGCCTTCCGCCAAGGATGAGAGCCCGTAATCGGAGCCCTCCAGGCGGCCAGAGCCGCGGCAGGCGGCAGAGGCAGCCGCGCACGCCCCGCGGCAGCGGGCTCTCTCTGCCGGCGGCGCGTCGGCCTCTTCGTCGGAGGATCGAGGACCGACCTTCGACCCTCGATCCTCGAGCCTCGACCCTCGATCTCTCGATCTTCGACCCTCGATCCTCGACCTCTCGATCTTCGACGATGCCATACCATGTCTCAGCCCCTCCAAGGCGGAAGCCATGCCTGCATCGCCCCGCATGGGGCCGCGTCAGGCCCTCTGCTGAGGAGCTGCGTGGGGCTGGCTGGCAGGCCCCTCCTCTTGCCCTGCGCCTCGGGGCAAATCCCCCCCCCCCCCCCCCAAGACTGAGGGACAAAGACATGGGGGGGGACTGGCATAAGGGGGGACACATCCACCTGGAATCGGCGATATGTCGCCGATAGATCGGCGATGGGCCTCCAATAGTGGGTCCGAACGTTCCTGGGCAGGTGGGGGCTATCGAGACCCTGTCGGCGAGCAGTGGGCGATTGGGGGTCGATGCGTCCCCCCCCCGCCCCCTGTGCCTATCCCCCCCTACCGTTGCCTCCGAAAAGCTCGCCCAAGAATATCCAAGAATCTGTGCTTCGCTGGGCTGCGCCGGACTACAGGCCAGAGGACGCCGATGAGGACCCAAAGAGGCCCGTCCCCTGCCTGCTCCCGCCGCCCCCCCTGACATCCTTTCGTCGTGAACAAAAGTCACGATTAGAAATGTTGGGTGTTTCGGCTCCACTGGGCCCGGGGACCATCAGAAAACGGCTCGGGTTGGAAAGTCGATCCCTGGGAAGAGGTCCAGACCTGTGAAGAGTCACGTTGTGGCAACAATCACGTCGGATGTCTGGACCATTCGCAAATTTTAGCAGAGGCGACGAGTTGAGAACAGCGGGGGCCTCATCAGGCACTGGTGCTGCTCGAGAGCCTCGTCGATAGTCCAGCCCCGCTTGTACACAACGCTGCCCTCCATAGGAGGCAACTGCGCTGCCAGCTGCCGGCTGCGCTGATGAGTTTCTTGTTTGCAGAAGCTGGAGGGTAGCTTGCTAGCCTGCCGAACACTGACCTTGGAACACGCGCGGCTGTGCACGCTCGAGAGCAAACTTCAAACGAATCCGCTAACAGATTAGATGTCCTTCTTCAGACCAAGCCCGTCGTCCTCCTCTCCCCTGCTCCCTCTCCCCCTCCACCGTCTCCCGTTCCACGCCTCATACCTGAAGGGCCTTGCAAAAACGGGGGAGGCTCAGCCTTCCTTTCAAGACAACTGTGACTTCGTGATTGAGGGTGAGGACGGATTGGGTGGATAGCTTCGAAAAGAGACGGTCAACGGGAGGAAGTTGAAGAGAAGGATGGGGGATAGGAGAGAATGCTGGAGGGAGAGGAAAACGGGAGAGAGGGAGGGAGGGACGGAGGGAGTGGGAAGAGGACGTGGTCAGACGGAGAAGGGAGGGGATAACACCAGGAGACGGGATCCGACGAAGAGACCCGGCCAAAAAGAGTATAACCCAACGTGTCACGACATGTCTGCACCCAGAGCCGTGCGTCCCTTACTCCACGCCTCCAGCTCCTTCTTCCTCTTCCCGCGCCACTCCCTCTCTTCCTCTCAATGCTGTTGCTGATGTGATTCGCCTTCTCCCCCTCCTCCTCGACTCTCCTCTCCCCTTCTTCCACCATTTTCTCCTCACACCTCCAGTCCTCAACTCCATATACCCATCTCCTCTCACACTGCTCCTCCTCTCTGGCGCTGCCGCCCCTCCCCTTGCTACCCTCCTCGCTCCACCCATTTCTCCCCTCGCTTCCCCTCCGCTCCCTCTTCTCCCCCTCTCTCCTCTCTCTCTCTCTCTTTCTCCCTTCGGCGCTCCCCTTGCTTCCGCCCTCCTTCCCCCTGCCCTCCTCTCCCCACGGTTACTCAACACGAACACTGCTGTCTGTTCTCCTCCGAAGATGGCCGGGGAGTAGCCCACCTCCCTCCGCGCACTCTTTTCGCGCGCAGGATTCCAACAACTGTTTTTTCTGCAGTCCGGCCGTTTTCTGGCGGGTGGGGACACTCGCAGACATTCCAAAACGTGGGAAGCCTGTGACCCACGGCGTACAGTGCACGTCAGAACTGTTCAGAGCACCTCGTGAAACCAGAGCTGGCAGATGGAATTTGTGGAGGAAAAAACTGGCGGTGGGCGATGTGGAAACATAACCACGGCCCGGCGCCATGCGTTCCGCAAGCTCGCTGGCCTGGCAGGCGAGGAAGGAGTTCGTGTATTCCCCGAAATTGTTTCCCCGGCGGGGGGGGGCAAGTCCGAACATTAATCCACAAGGCCGCCAGATTCCCCGGCGAGTTCCTCTGTTCGGGGCGGGTGTCGAAAACGGCGTTTCCCCGCGGGGGCTCGCCACCAAACCAATGGGAGTGTCTGATCAATTCACGACAGATTCCCCGAGAAGTGGCCGGGGGGTGGGGAGACGTGTCTCCTAATCCCCCCCCCGATTGCAAAATGGTGCTGCGGCGCCGCTGCAGCGCGGGCCTCTATGCAGGATCGGCGCTTCGCTCCCGCTGGCCAGAACGGCACGCTCGCCCCCAAGGCGGGCCTCTCTTCTGCTCCCGAGTCTTTCCCCATCGTTGTCGCCACACCTCCTTTCCCCTCCCCCGGTTGCCCCTGGTCCTCCTGATCCTCCCGTTCCTTCAACCCCAGCTCCTTTTGCTGCTGCTCGTCCTCGTCCTCGTGCCTCCTCATCCTCCTCCTGTTCCTCCTGCCCATTCTCCTGCTGATCCGCCACTCCCCCCTCAATGTACGCAGCTCCCCAATTCCGATTGCGCATAACACGGCAAGTTTCTTTTCGGACTTTCAGGCCCGCTATGACACGCGTCGGCGGATTGAGAAAAACAGCGCAACGGGAAGGAATGGGTGGGACAGGTATGATGCCAGATCAGGTGCGAGCGCGCCTGGCTTGTCTGTCCACCTTCTCCCCTCCTTCTCCCCGCCCTTCACTCTTCCATCCCCCTCCTTTACCTCCATTCTCCACGGTGCCCCAGCCCCACTGTACTGCAATGGGGGGGGGGGGCACAGATCCGCGGGCGCGAAAGCCGACACATGGAGCGCCCGCCTTCATCGCCAGCTCCATCCCCGCGGGTCCTTCACAGGAGGAAGAAGGGTGAGGGAGGGAGGGAGGGAGGAGGGATGAGGAGAGGGATGACGATGATGATGATGACCCAATGCTGTAGAGACAGTGTGGAGATTATCCTCAGCAGCTGGCCAAACCCGAACCGCTTCCCTCGGCGCCTCGCACGCAACGGCAGACCGTGCCATCGACACATGGCACAAACGAGGCTCAGCACAAACGCACGAGGGCGGCGCCAACCATGTCGGCCGCGATCAATCGCCGTGGCAGACCTGAGGCGCCCAGCACCGGGCGGTGCTGCTCAGAGCCACCTCTGGACGGAACACGCGGCAGAGCCCAAAGGCTTTAGCCGGCTCGGCGCAGGCATTCGTGATGTAGCGAAGCCTGGCCTTTCGAACGCTATCGTTGTGTCGGGCGTGTCCCCCTACGGAGGAATGTTGGACGAAACATTCAAAATAGACAAAAGATATACCAACAACGCTCAAAAATACTCAAACATCGTCCCATACGATTTTTTTTTTACTATTTTTGAAACCTCGTACCCGCTTGGCGCCCCGAGCGAAGCCTCATTCCTCACGCGCGAGTGCACCTCAAACTGCGCGGAGGCGCAGCAGAACAAGGAGCGGCTACCGAGGCTCGGCCGCATCACCGAATAGCGCTTCGAGGAGTGCAGTTGGCGCCCTCGAGGGCCGTCCACGAGGCTGCCCCCGCCGCCTTAAGATCGACTTCGACGGGGACACCGCCCCCTGGTGCCTCTTCCAATGGATGTGCCTGCCTGCCCCTTCTCCACCCTCCTGCACGTCATCCCTGTCGACGCCGTCGTCATCGATCAGCGGGGCGGCGAGGTCCTGTCGAGCTCGTCGTCTACCTCCTCGCCTCCGCGTCGGCCGATCAGGACTCCGCCGGGGGCCGTCCTCTGCCGGGGGTGCACCCCGCAGGGGAGACCTGACACCAACGGCATGTCGGCCCTCCAACTCCTTCACCGCGCCCGCCAAGGAGAAGACGATGAACCCGCAGTTGCGCCGCATGCCGCCCTGCCTGGGCGAGGGCAGTGTCTCCCAGCGTCCAGCACCTGGCACGAAATCCGCGCGCCAGCGCGCAAATCACTCCGCGTCGCTCCAAAGCGCGCCTCTAGCCCTGGCGGTCGGGGCTTCGACGCCCTCGCCGGTGCCCTTGCACCGAGAGCAGCTCCGCGGACAAGCGCTGAACCAACCGATCTGCGGTCTCCCGCGCCGCACGCCGCGCCGCACCGTCATCGGCAACCGAACGACGGCACCCTCCATGGGGTGCCTCCCGCAGCCCTCACTCCGTGAGCCAAGAGCACTGCCTCCCCAAGGCCCTCACGCCCACCCAGGATGGGGGTATTTACGCCGAGGGACAAGGTCCAAGGGCAGGGGGCCTACGGAATGCTGATTATGATGATTTTGGTGGTGCTGATGATGATGATGATGATGATGATGATGATGATGATGATGATGATGATAATGACGACGACAATGATGATGCTGCTGATCATGATTATGATTACGATGCTGATGATGATGAGGATGATGATGGCGATGACGATGGTGATGATGCTGCTGATGCTGATTATGATGATGCTGATGCAAGTGATGAGGATCATGATGACGATACTGGTAATAATGATGATGCTGTTGATGACGATGACGATGATGATGATGATGCTGATGATGCTAATGTTTATGATGAGTAGGAATGTGATGATGACGATGATGCGGATGCTGATGATACTGCTGCTGATGATGCTGGTGCAAATGCTGATGCTGCTGCTGATGATGTTGATGCTGATGACAATGCGTATGATGCTGCCGCTGCGGATGATGATGATGATGATGATGATGATGATGATGATGATGATGATGATGATGATGATGACGATGCTGATTATGAGGATGATGCTGATGATGATGGTGATGATGGTGATGATGGTGATGAGGATGAGGATGCGGATGATGATGCTGATGATAACGACGACGAGGAGGAGGAGGAGGAGCAGGACGGGGAGGAGGAGGAGGAGGAACGTGGGAGACATCGGAGGAGGAATATGATGATGAGGACTATGGATTAAGAAGATGTGGGGAGGGGGTCCGGAACAACATCGAACAGCGCCTCACAACTCTCTTAGGTGCTCCCTTCTGAGCGCTGGGCCAGGTACCCAGGCGGCCTTCCGCATATGACCGGCGCCTGCTCACAACCGAGAGCCCAACAGCGTCAGCCCCCCTCCTTGCGAAGAGCGAAAACCGTGTCAGCAAGCGGGCCCCATCCGCTCGGCGTAGCCACGAGTGCACTTTCGGGCCATGTCTGGGGGAGATAGGGGAAATATGCATGTATATATAGAGAGAAGGAGAGAGAGAGAGAGAGACAGAGTGAGAGAGAGAGAGAGAAACAAAAAAAGCAAAAGAACACAAAAGAGATATATAGATATTAGATATATATATATATATATATATATAGATAGATAGATAGAGAGAGAGAGAGAGAGAGAGAGTGAGAGGCCGAGAGACAGGGGAGGACAGTGCGAGCGCGATATGGGACGGGGGCGTGTTTTTTGTGTGGGTCGGGCCGCATCGGATCGTCGGAACGACGGGACCGAATCGGATCGGGCTGGCCGATATCACTGTCGGGTCGGACCGAGTGGATCGAAATTCTCCCTGACCTCGGTGTTCGGGTCACAACGTGGGCCGTTCGGGACGATTCGGACAGCCTCGGAACGCTCTCGGCGAGGCGCAGCTGCTGGAACGCATCCCAAGGGCAGGGAGCAAACCTCCAGGAAGCGACACACAAATCCTGAAAGCATCGGAGACCGACGAAAACCTCCAAATCTCCGTTGCCTTTGCCCCTGAGTACTGCCGATACCGATGACGGGTGTTTCCAGCACTGGTTTTTCGAAACATAGGACCGGCGATTATCCTGTCTGGCTGCGTGAGCGTCGGTTAACAAACCTACGTTCACTCTATCTAGCAAGGCAGAGCCTCAAGCGCGAACATGGGGCGCACGGGTAAGGCAACGATGCCAAAACCAATGCGTGCTCACTATTGCGACAGAGTTGCGATGTACTTGCCCTGGTGCGCGCATTGCTTGCATGCGGCAGTGGTGAGTAAGCTGCGCGGGCGCAAGAGGCAAACTGTGCGCGCGTGTGTGCCTGTATTGAGGCGCGCTTCTTGCGCGTAAAGGCATTGACGTCGCATGTGCTGGCGTGGTCCAGGCGCTAATGCGCATGCGAAATGTCGGGCCCGTGGCGTCGTCGTCAGCGCCGTCGGATGCGCATTCGAGAAAGTGTTCGCTCATCGGCTTGCCTGTTTCCTTTTCAACGTTTCTTGCTGTGTGCGTGTAGTCGATGCGCACGCTCTGCGCGCACGCGCGTGTTGGGTTTAGTGGTGATTTTGGTATGGTCAGGGGATCTGAGGCGCGCAAACATGAGGCGCCGTGGCACGTGGCATGAGTCTGGGCAGTGGCTGGTGCCACATATTGCTGCCGCTCCTTAACGAGCCACACAAAATGCAAAAACGATACGTGTACCTTGTGTATGAAACTGGGCACGCTGTGATGCAACGCGTTTTGGAGATGAACGCCATCTGGCTGACGAGTCCCACCAGCCCTTGAGGGCGTATGTCGTCTAGAGAGGTTCCTCTTCCGAACCCCTTCTTCCCTTCCGGGAGGGGTTTACCCCTCCCCCTACCCCCTCCCCTGGACCTGGACGGGGGGGCGGGGGGCGCGAGGTGTCAGAGGGTACTTGTTCGCCCAAGGCGGCTCCAAGAGCGCCTCAGGGAACCCAAGACGATCTCCAAGATGGCTCAAGATAGCCTGAAATGCTTCAAGATGGTTCCCAAGATGCTCCAAAAGGCCCCAAGAACGTTCCAAGATGGCTCCAAGAGGCTTCCAAGACCTCCAAAGAGCTGCATTTTTGCTTTCTCGCATTTTCGCTTCCGATAGCCTCGCGAGGCCTCAAGATGGCTCCAAGATGGCCCAAGAGGGCCCCAAGAGAGGCCCAAGAGAGCCCAAAGACGGCCCCAAGAGCGCCCAAGAACGCTCCAAGAGCGCCCCAAGAGGGGTCCTAGAAACGATTTTGGGGGCTCCCGAAGGGGAGCGCGAATTGGGGGCCCCCCGGCTAAGCCCTCCTCTGGCCCAAAGACGGCACAGACGGGCCCCACGCAGCGACAACAGACCTCCAATATGGGGGTGAAAGGGCATCCAAGAGGGGCCCGAGAAGGGCCTAAGACATTCTTCATCATAATTACCAACAGCCCCTGGTACGATGTCGTTGGCCCAGCTGGGGGCCGTCACTCGGCCCCAAAGATGGCCCAGGACGTCCCCAGACGAAGAGATGCCCCGAAGGGCTCCGGAGAGACCCCAAAGGGCCCCCCATCGTTGGGGGGCGCTGGTTGTGGGCCCTCTGGTGGCCCTCCTGGGCATTCTCGGGGTCCCTTCCCCAACCCCATAGAGGGCACTGTAAGGCCCTAGACACCACCAACGGAGTTTCGAAGAGGGGTCCAAAAGAGTGAGCGAGAGGGGCAGAAAAAGGCCCCCATGGATATCATACGTACCAAAAGCCCTTGGCATGATACCGTTGGGGGCCGCCTTATGAGCACCCTTGGGGCCCCGCTGGGCCTCATTGAAGCCCCCCACTGGCTCCAAGAACGCACCAGGAGAGCCCCGCGCAGCCCCAGCGGAACTCCCACGAGGGCCCCCCAAAAGTGTGCCCCAGGGATATCCCTGCGAACACGTTTCGGCCCACAGTTGCCCCCGTCTCCCTGCGAGCAGACCCCTCTGCCCAGGCTTTGACATGATGTGCGGGAGCGCCGTCCCGACGCAGCCGACTTGTACGGTCGTTACTCGTACGCGCGATCGTGCAACGACGGCCGCGACATTGTTCGAACATCGAAAAAATGTTCGAACAACAAGAACGTTGTTCGAACATTGCGTGGTTGTTAGCACTAGTACAAAAACGATATGTACAGAAATGTTCGAACACCGGAAAAAACCGTTCGAACACCAGAAAATTGTTCGAACAACGGAAACGAGTGTTCGAACACCAGAAAATTGTTCGAACACCAAAAACGACTGTTCGAACACCGGAGACGTGTTCGAACACGAAAACGATTGTTCGAACACCAGAGAAATTGTTCGAACACGAAAACATGTGTTCGATCATTGATTTTTCGATCACCTAAACAATGCACCTCGCATAAATCCAACCAGTCCCTGGGTGTGTGTGTGTGACGTGGTTATGAGAGCTTCGCCTTCCAACTTCTCATAACCCCCATCTCCCGACTCTCTCCCCATGGACCCCCTGCAGTACGCTGCAGAGTTCCTCCTGCAAAGACCCTGCAAAGACCATCGCAATGACCTGCGAAAAAACATGCAAAGACCCTGCGAAGACCCTCCAGTGAGTCCTGGGTCGAACCCGTCGGAAAGAGTTCGGCGGGATGCTTGCTAGTACGTGCCTTGTTGGGGCCTCTTGGAAGCCGATGAAGCCCCAATGAGCGCCCCAAGATGCCAGAGGAAAACCCAAAAAGGGCCCAAGAAACACCGAATCCGTGACATGTTGCTTTACGTGTTTCGGAACGTCGTCACGCACCGAGTCCGTGACGCATCGGGCCCAAGAGCGCCCCTAAAGCTCCCAAGAGCGCCCCAAGAGGCTGCCAGAGGGTCTCCAGAGGCCTCCAAGAGGCTCCCAAGAGAACCCCTAAGAAGCCCCCAAGAGGCCACCAAGAGGCCCCCAAGAGGCTTCAAGACTATCCCCGAGTCACCCAAGATGCCCCCCATACCCTCCAAGAGGCATCCAAAATAATTCCCAAGAGACATCGTAGGAGGCTCTCATGTTCGTCAGTTTTGTTCTCCTCCTCCTCCTCCTCCTCCTCCTCCTCATCATCATCATCATCCCCCCTCCTTCTCCTCCTCCTCTTCCTCCTTCTCCTCCTCCTTATCCGCCTACCCAATCCCTCCTCTCCCTCCGCCACCTCCTCCATCCTCCTCTCCTCATCATATTCATCATCCTTCTCCCTCCTCCCTCATCCATCCATCCTCCTCCTTGTCCTCCTCCTCCGTCGAACGGTTCGGCTGTCCCTCTCTTTGCTCCTACACTTCCCTCATCACCTCAACTCGCCTGGGCGTCGCTTCTGGATGGGCTGGTGGAGATACGCGAAGCGTCAAGAATTTCCTTGATGGGCCCTCGCGCTAAATGGTCAGCCGAGAAGCAGCTCGACGGTGTGGAAATTCACTCGTCTGCTCGCGGCGGCGTCATGGTCGCCCCTCGGCGGGCACCGAAACCAAACTAATGAGGATCCGGTGGAGGTGGAGAGGCGGGATACGGAGGGATGAACGAACAGGGCGAGGTGCAGGAGGGGAAGAGGGCGACACGTAGGGATAAGTACAAAGGCGCGGGTTGCATATGTCTTCCAGCGCGCGCCCCAAACAGTGAGCTAGTGCGTTCAGTATGTGTCATATACGAAGCGCACTGCAGGCGGTGCAATTTCGGCGTTGTCATCTAAGCGGTTCAACTACTGTGGTGCAACCTACGTTGTACATGTTGCACCCCCAGGTTGCGCCAGAGGTTGCGGCATGGCCATAAGATGCGCCGTGGGTTGCCGCGTTGATTGCGCCATCGGCCATAGGGGTGGGCTCGGGCGCGAACGTGGCGGAACCTCGCCCGACCCATCCAGTGTGTCGTGCCGTATGCTGTGCCTTAAATTGCGCCATAGGGGCGGACTCTGGCGCGAACGAAGCGAGATCCTCTCAATCTGTTGCGCTATAAGTTCCGCCGTAAGGTCAGGGCGGGCGCGGGCGCGAACGTAGAGAAACGTCGCCCGACCCATCCAACTACTTAGCAACGCGAGTACGACCCCACTAAGTGAAGGCACGGTTTGGGGGATCTGTCCTACGAGTCGGCACGCGCGCGCGAGGCGCATCTACGGCTAACGCCCTTCGCGAGGACTGGGCCGTCCAATCTGCGACATCCGCCAAGCCCAATGCTTGAGCTCAAAACCCGCGGGGGACTTACGATAACTGGTTATCCAAAGATGCGAAACACCCGTGGTGCTAGCACCCGTGATCGAGGCTCCCGGGAGTAGAGATTTGGACTCCCGAAACGGGTACGGAAAAAACTAGTACGATGCCTCCAACAACATGCTGTCCAAAACCGACATCGGCCGCTGTTGGGCAGGCGGCCTTGTGTTTCAAATGGACAGGAGCTGACGTCGGTCTTCGCATCCTCCTCCCAAATGGGGTCCGGGTAGATAATTAGGGTTGGAGGATCGTGATGCATCGCCGATGCATCGGTGATGCATCGGAAACGTCGGCGGTGCATCGGCGACGTCGGCGTGGAGAACTCCGTCAAGCCGCATCGCCGATGCATCGACGATGCGGCACGATCCTCCGACCCGATCTGGGCGACCTAGAGCCGCAGATCCCGGCGTCATGATTTATTCACAACGTCGACCTCGAGAGGTCTCGACCCATTTCCCAGGACCGGTTCTTCGTCTTGAGCCGTTTCTGGACAGCCCCGAGGCCTGCCGAGGGCCCCCAGCGGCCGGAAATTTTGGGAAACCATTCCGTCGTGATCTTGTCGTGACTCGAGGGTGTCTGGTGTTCTGGCCATCACTCGGCCCTCTGGCGGCCCTTCGGGACGATATGGGCACCCCTTGAACGCCCCCGGCGAGCCGCAGCTGCCCGAGAGGATCCCGAGGCTGGAAAGCCTTCGAGAATTTTCAAAATCTAGGGGAACAAAAAGTGACATAAACATAAAAACTCGGAGGTCCGCGCGGATTTCTCGGATCCGCGCTGGACCCCCATCATTGGCGCGCGGAGCGCGCCAGGGGCGGCGCCGGAGGCGCCGCCGGGGGGCCCCAGCGCGGATCCGAGAAATCCGCGCGGACCTCAGAGTTTTTATGTTTATGCCACTTCTTGTTCCCCTAAAAACGTTCGAAAACCTCGAGCCTCGAGCCGCGTGCTCTCTTTCCCTGACCCGATCTCCTCCTCCTCCTCCTCCTCCTCCTCCTCGTCCTCCTCCTCCGCCTCCTCCTCCTCCTCCTCGTCCTCCTCCTCCCTCCTCGTCCTCCTCGTCCTCCTCGTCCTCCTCCTCCTCCTCCTCCTCCTCCTCCTCCCTGACCCGATCTGGGAGGCCTCGACCGTGGCCCCCGTGCCCCCGCGCAGAAGGGGCGTGTCCAGCGGGCGGCGCGCCGGCGGAGACCACCCTGGAGCCAGCGGCGCTCCTCGCCGCGCTCGTCAGCGCCAGCGCCGCGGCGGCGCCTCGGAGGACGACGACGACGACGACGACGAGAAGGAGGAGGAGGAGGAGGAGGAGGAGGAGGAGGAGGAGGAGGAGGAGGAGGAGGAGGAGGAGGAGGAGAAGGACCATGGCGACGACGTTGAGCGGCGGCCCAGGTCGGGGTGCGCCCAGGAAGGGGGGGCCAGGAGCCCCGCAGGGTTCGAGCTGGACAAGGTTTTGAGTTTTGTGTTTTCGTTCTGTTTCGGGGGTCGTCTGACCCCGGTCAATCCAGACATGAGTCAGTCAGGCCTGGCAGGATCCTGCAAGATCTGGCGCTCTGACTGACCCCCGTTTGCACTGACCCCCGCCCCTTGAGCCCCGATTGTTGTCGTCTGCCCTTGTGCTGGTCTTCTCTCCGCGTGTGCCGCAGAACGAGGTCATCACGAAAGCAGTCGACGGCATCGCCCAAACACCGTCTGGCTCGCGCCCCGATGCCCAGATCTCCGTCTATCTGATTTTCCTGCGACAATGCAAGACAACGCAAGACAATGCAAGACAATGGCTCTAGGCAGCTTGTCTGCAAGGGTTCCGTATAGGATTTCTGTCGCCGAATGAGGGGTGCCAACCCCCGAGCCCGGGCCGAGGAGTCGAGTGGCCTCTCCAGCCCTGGTGGTCGTGAACCTCTTCCTCCACACGCTGGGCGGCGAGACGAGCAGTGAGCCTGCAAGCCTGAGGCGACAAATCCAAGCACCCCTCAAGAGAAAATAAAGCACGTCCTTCTCGGATGCCGCTCCGTGGCTGGCACCGAGCTTGGTACACTTGTCAGTCAGGTCGTTTCCCTGGAGCTCGCACTGAGAACATGTCTTTCCGAACCTGGATCATGGAACTGTGGCTTTTCACGTGCCTGAGCCCCATTGGCGCGAAACCTGGAGGAGGGAGGCGGAGGCGGAGGAGGAAGAAGGAGACCAGAGTAAACTCAAGACTCATCCACAATGTTGCAATAACGCCCTCCCTCCAATTTCCCTCCTCACAAGTCCCTGCAGATGTTGATTTTCACTGAGGGAAGTGCCCCGTTGGAAGACACTCGTCTGGAAATCCTGAACTGTACCAGACCACCATCCTTGGAACTTGAATGCTGCGAGCTCACGTTCCTGTTGCGTCCTGATGGTCCTGAATCGTGCCAGAACATCACAGCCCTCCATCTCCATCAATGAAGCTTGTGTGATCTTTTAGGCGAATGTGCGCGACGTTAAAGCGAGACCCACATTTGGAAACGGCCCGCCCTCTATCCGTGAATTTCGTGCAAGCTTGTTCAGCAAACTGGCGCGGCACGAAGGCGAGAAACAGATGTTGAAAACTGCCCGCCCTCTATCTGTGAAGCTCTTAAGCCTGTTGAGAACGAATGTGCGCGACGCTATGGCGAGAGTCACATCTTGAACACGGCCCGCCCTGTGTGAAACTGTTGCCACTTACCAATTTAGGGATCATGCACGGTGAGGAGGTCTCAGACGGAACGCCTGGCCCACATTATCGACACGCCTCGAGGTGCGACAGGGAGGAGTTATTCACAGGGAAAAGGAATGCAGAGAGGAGGAGAGGGAAGGAGGGGGGGTGGGAGGCGGGAGGAGGGAGGCGTGAGGAGTAAGGAGGGAGGAGGGAGAAGGGGAGGAGGAGGGAGCAGGGAAGAGGAGGATGGAGGGGAGAAGGAGGGAGAAGGGGAGGAGGGTGGAGGAGGAGGGAGAAAGATGAGGGAGGAGGGGAGGGGAGAAGGAGGGACAAGGGGAGGAGGAGGAGGAGGAGGAGGAGGAGGAGGAGGAGGAGGAGGAGGAGGAGGAGGAGGAGGAGGAGGAGGAGGGACGAGGAGGAGGGACGAGGAGGAGGACGAGGAGGGGGAGGAGGCCCCTTGCCCCGCGGGCGCGCCCTCGGCGGCGACCGCGGCGAGCCCCCCCGCCGCCTCCGCGCCCCGCGGCGGCGGGGCGAACGCCGCGGAGCTCATCGCGGGCGCGGCGCGCGTGCTCCCCCGGGGGGGGGGGCCGCGGAGCCTATAGACTGCCGCGGCCTGGGCACGGAGGCTCGGCCCGCACGCAAGAGGTGGCCCTGGGCGAGGGAGCGACCGATGGGCCCCCCAAGAGGCCCCCGAGCGGTCTCAGGGAGCCCAAGATGGCCTCCAAGATGGCCCTTATAGCCCAAGCTGGCTCGAGCTGGCTCCAAGATGGCCAGATAGCCCAAGATGACCTCCAAGATGGTCGGATAGCCCAAGATGGCCTCCAAGATGGCTCGAGTTGGCTCCCCAACATGATCCAAACGGCCCCAAGGCCGCTCCAAAAACGCCCCAAGAAGCGCTCCAAGAGAGCCCCGAGAAGCGCCGCTGCGGTGCGCGGCGGTCGGGGGCCGGCGGGGACTACGTGCAGACAGGCACGTTCCGCTGCTCGCAAGGTCACTGCTCGCAAATGGCACGGATCCGCCACGGGAGATTTGCGATGAAATATTACATCGATGCAGACCTGTTTTTTCCTGAAGTTTGCGAGTAGGCACTTTGCGAGTAATGGAACACGCTCGGTGAAAATGCAAGCGCGCCGGTCGGTGCTGCGGGACCCCCGTGAGCCCGCACCAGAGGTCACTCCAGCGAAGGGTCACTCTTGCGTGCGCTCGAGAGGTGTCGGGGACGCACTGGCCCGGGTCAATGCAAGCCTGGGTCAGTCAGGCCTTGCAGGATCCTGCGAGATCCTGCAGGATCTTGCAAGATCCTGCGCGCAAGCCTGGGCCGATGCACCCCTGGCTCTGCAGGATCCTGCGTGACCTGGCTTGACCCCCGTTTGCATTGACCCCCGTCTCATAATGCTCCCGACGTGGACCGCCCTAGCAAGCTGTGGTCTGCTGACGGCGCGCACAAGCCCAGACATCCGGCGTAAACCACGATAACAACGATACCGATCAACGATATCATCGATAATAACGATACCAACGAAAACAATGATCACAACGATGACGATGACAACGACAACGATCGTTGTGATCGTTGTCATTGAAACTTATTTCTGTAATTGTGTTTGGCCTCGTGGGGCCCTCACTGGGCCTCGGGGCCGTCAAAAAGCAGCTGGGGAAATGGTCGAAAGGTCGGGGGCCCGTGTCTCGAACATATCGAAACGCAGGATGTCTGTGATGCGATGGTGTGAGGGGGGCGTCCTCCTAAGAAGGCGGGGCCTTCTTAGAAGATCTTAGACGGTCTGGAGGCTTCCAAGTTCTTAGAAGCCAGGAGGGTTTTTAAGTTGAGACGCCCCAGCCGCCCTCCCGTAAGATGACGACCGAAGCCTTTTTACCTAACAGCGAAGACTGATAGGTTTCTAATGGTTTCAAAAGAAAACATCATGACTCCCCAGGGGGGTCCGGGCAGGATCCGGGGAGAATCCGCGGAAGTCGTTTTAAGCAAACAGTTACGCACTTCGTGGTCTTCGAGGTCCCAGAACTCCATTCCCGGGCCACATTCTGAATGCCCGGAGCCAACTGTAGGCCACTTCGTGCTCTTCGAATTCCCAGAACTCCATTCCCGGGCCACATTTTGAATGCCCGGAGCCAACTGTAGGCCACTTCGTGCTCTTCGAATTCCAAGAACTCCATTCCCGGGACAAATTTTGAATGCCGGGAGCCAACTGTAGGGCACTTCGTGGTCTTCGAGTTCCCAGAACTCCATTCCTGGGCATGATTTTGAATGCCCAGAGCCAACTGTAGGCCAGGCTGAGGCTGAGGCAGGCTGAAGCTGAGGCTGAGGCAGGCTGATGCTGAGGCAGGCTGAGGCTGAGGCTGAGGCAGGCTGAGGCTGAGGCCGAGGCTGAAGGCAGACTGAGGCTGAGGCTGAAGCAGGCTGAGGCTGAGGCTGAGGCTGAGGCAGGCTGAGGCTGAGGCTGAGGCAGGCTGATGCTGAGGCAGGCTGAGGCTGAGGCTGAGGCTGATGCAGGCTGAGGCTGAGGCAGGCTGAGGCTGAGGCCGAGGCTGAAGGCAGACTGAGGCTGAGGACTGAAGCAGGCTGAGGCTGAGGCTGAGGCAGGCTGAGGCTGAGGCTGAGGCAGGCTGATGCTGAGGCAGGCTGAGGCTGAGGCTGAGGCTGATGCAGGCTGAGGCTGAGGCAGGCTGAGGCTGAGGCCGAGGCTGAAGGCAGACTGAGGCTGAGGCTGAAGCAGACTGAGGCTGAGGCTGAGGCAGGCTGAGGCTGAGGCTGAGGCAGGCTGATGCTGAGGCAGGCTGAGGCTGAGGCTGAGGCTGATGCAGGCTGAGGCTGAGGCAGGCTGAGGCTGAGGCCGAGGCCGACGGCAGACTGAGGCTGAGGCTGAAGCAGGCTGAGGCTGAGGCAGAGGCAGGCTGAGGCTGAGGCTGAGGCTGAGGCTGAGGCTGATGCTGAGGCAGGCTGAGGCTGAGGCTGAGGCTGATGCAGGCTGAGGCTGAGGCAGGCTGAGGCTGAGGCCGAGGCTGAAGGCAGACTGAGGCTGAGGCTGAAGCAGGCTGAGGCTGAGGCTGAGGCAGGCTGAGGCTGAGGCTGAGGCAGGCTGATGCTGAGGCAGGCTGAGGCTGAGGCTGAGGCTGATGCAGGCTGAGGCTGAGGCAGGCTGAGGCTGAGGCCGAGGCTGAAGGCAGACTGAGGCTGAGGCTGAAGCAGGCTGAGGCTGAGGCTGAGGCAGGCTGAGGCTGAGGCTGAGGCAGGCTGATGCTGAGGCAGGCTGAGGCTGAGGCTGAGGCTGATACAGGGTGAGGCTGAGGCAGGCTGAGGCTGAGGCCGAGGCTGAAGGCAGACTGAGTTGAGGCTGAAGCAGGCTGAGGCTGAGGCTGAGGCTGAGGCTGAGGCTGAGGCAGGTGATGCTGAGGCAGGCTGAGGCTGAGGCTGAGGCTGATACAGGGTGAGGATGAGGCTGAGGCTGAGGAGGCTGAAGCAGACTGAGGCTGAGGCTGAAGCAGGCTGAGGCTGAGGCTGGAGGCAGGCTGAGTGAGGCAGGCTGAGGCTGAGGCTGAGGCAGGCTGAGGCTGAGGCTGTGACTGTGACTGCCGTTGC